CAAATGTAAAAACAAATGCGCACATAGAGCAAGCCATTTGCAGCCACACACACACACCCACACATCTCTGGAAACTCTCTTGCCCCTACCCTTTCGTTTCTTACTAAAAATAGTCTTGATATTTGGACAATGATGGGCATTGTGTGGGAGTGGTTCATTCCTGACAGCAGGACTGGTGACTGTGACCTCGGCATCAGATGCAGATGGCCTCAGTAAGAGAACAGATTGAACATGCCCCAGAGGGGGAAAAGTCTTCCTAGTGCTTTTAGATGAAATGGGATTTTTGTCTTTACATCTTTAAATCATTATTAAAGCCTTTTTGCTGCACATGACATCTGCACTAGAAAAAGGAGCAGGTGTTTCAGAGTATAATCTGGAAAGTACCCGCAGATACGCCTGGGTTTTCAGTGTTACTTGTACATCAGTGATTTTAATCTGATAGATTTAGATTGGTTCCTGGACTGTATTCACCAACCCCAACAACACATTCATTGATTTAAACTGCTTTTCTAATGAGCTACAAAAATGAATGTTCATCATTAATTTTGCCATACTTGCAAATCAATTAATAACTGGGACTATATAAAAAGACTGTAAAAGAAAGCCAACTATAGCATCACCAGATAATTTGGTGTTGTTATAGTGACTTAGAGCAGGGAAGTTAACAGGTTTAGAAAATCTACGACCTAGAGAAACAAAAAACAAAAAGTAGAGGCAACCATTTTTAATATTTAGTGTTGTTTTTGAAGGAGGAGTGTAAGTTTAAAATTTAATTTGGTGATTTACAGTCGACTCAAATGGAAGGGTCTTTAAACAAGGAATTCAGGCTTGATGCTCAATACTAATAAAAACAGTTCTCAGCATCTAGAGTCCATCTGGAAACTCAAATAAGTTCATTTTTCAACTTAGAATTATACACACAATACCCCATAATGACAAAGTGAATATTCTTACTTGAAAATCACAGCCTTTGCCATGACACTCATAGTTGAACTTAGGTACATCCTATTTTTACTGATCATCTTTCACACATTTTCTACAACTTGGTTGGAGTCAATCTGTCAAATTTGGTTAATTGGACATGATTTTGAAAGGCAGAGTGGCCTTCATCATGCATAAATGGAAGAAGTTTGGTCTCTTCCGAGAACTGGCCATGCTGCCAATTTGAGTGATCGAGGTAGAAAGCAAGGTGACCAAGAACCAGATGCTTCCTCCACAGGACAACCATTTCTGCTGCACTCCACCAATCGGGTCTGTATGGTAGAGTGGCCAGACAGAAACCACTCCTCAGTAAAAGGCACACGACAGCCTACCGGGAGTTTGCCAAAAGCCACCTGAAGGACTCTCAGACCATGAGAACCAAAATTCTCTGGTCTGATGAATCAAAGGTTGAACTCTTTGGCCTCAATGCCAAGCATTATGTCTGCAGGAAACCAGGGACTATTCATCATCTGACCAATACCGTCCTTCAGTGAAGCGTGGTGGTCGGTTCATCATACTGTGAGGATGGTTTTCAGCAGCAGGACCTGGGAGACTAGTTAAAGTTGAGGGAAAGATGAATGCAGCGATGCACAAAGACATCATTGATGGCAACCTGCTCCAGAGTGCTCCGTTCCTTGGTCTGGGACAAAGGTTCATCTTCCAATAGGACGACTACCCTAAGGACGCAGTCAAGAAACAAAGGAAATGCTTTGGGACCGCTCTGTGAATATCCTTGAGTGTCCCAGTCAGAGCCCAGACTTGAATATGACTGAACATCTCTGGAGAGATCTGAAAATGACTGCTCATCCAGCCTGGTGGATCTTCAGAGATTCTGCAAGGAAGAATTGTAGAAACTGCCCCAAAATATTGGGATCAAGCTTGTAGCATCTTACTCAAAAATAATGAGCCTGTAATAGCTGCCAAAGGTGCTTCAACAAAGTACTGAGCAAACACTATGATTACTTATGTGCATGTTATGTTTTTGTTTTGATTTTTAATACATTTTCAAGAATTTCAAGCAAATGCTTATTTATATATATATATATTTTTTTTTTTTTTGGGGGGGGGGGTTTGAGGTGAAAAACAAATATAATCCATTTTGTAATAAGACAAAATGTGAAACAAGTAAAGTTTTCTGGATGGACTGTACCTCTCTTTATGGTCTATCAGATTATGAGTTTACCTTACAAAACACAATAACCCAAACTTGTTCAATTGTGGGCATCTAGTATTTACATTATGTTCATTTTATGCACCAGATCACACGGCTTAATGGTCGGTTTGTGACTAAATGTAAACCTAAATCCAACCCTCTACTGAGAACATCTCATGGGTATCTGAGTTCCTGCTTCTTATTTGTTGGCATCAAAGCCTGCATGTGTTATAAGCGCGTGTGTGCATGCATGTGTCCGAAGGGTGGGACAGGCAGTGGAGGGAACAGAGTGACTCCCTGTTCCAGAGGTGATGTCAACATGCTGCCATGATACACTTCCGTTCTCTTGTGGAACTCCTGCTGCAAGCATACACACAAACACAGAAAGGTCTTATTGCAGCAAAGCCACCAACACCCTTTGTTGCATTTGCTAAATAAAAATGTTACCCTTGTACTGCGATGTGGCCTCAGCCAGTGCGCGACATTAAGGGATGTAAAGTATGCTGCCGTAGTTCCAGATCTGACACTTGTTTAAGAATCCCTGTTGCAGCATCTGCTAGAGTATAAAGGAGTCACTTAGATTCATCCTGTGTTTACGGTGAAGAATTTTCCAGGTGTGAGTGACTAGCTGTTACTGCGGCTTTATATCCAGGGGAACGTGAACCAGCTTCTGTTTCAACCTCTTGACTTGGCAGTGGCCAGGAGGTGCCACAAGCACACAGAATGTGTCGTTCCTGGGCCTTCAAGCTTCTCAGTTACACCCAGTAATTATAAATATAGTATAGCTGCTGTACACTGAAAACAACCACAGCACTGTACTGCTGGTCACTGAACATCTCCACTAGAGCAGCCGGCTTACATGCTTACACCGGGACAGTTATTTGAACAAGCCACTCAAGTTTTTTCAGAATGCTGGAACGTTTTGTTTTTTTTAATCACCAGCTTCCTCTCTGATCTGATCGAAATGCAGCCCGACTTCCACTTATCTGCACCGAATATAGTTCACACAGGAGAAAAGTGACCAAAGGAAAGGTCGCACAATGTTATCTTGTTATTAATGCGTGGCTGTTTCCCTCATGTTGCAAAGGAAGATAGGAACTCTGACAAGCAGGAATCACGATGTGGAGCCAAAGCTAATTGCATGAACAATCATCAATCACCTGTGTGCACACTATACCTTGCTTTTGAGTTTGCACGATGAAGCCTGTGTGACAGATTTTTGTTCACAGCATCCCTGCAAACAGACATGCATAGGCTCCGCTTTGGCTCATTGCCACGAGACTGAAAGCGGCAAATTATATTCGCCTGAGTGATTTAAGCCTACTCCAGTGTGAATACAAGAAATGAGTTTTTATTAAAATAAAGACGGTATATTCCACTGGATAGAAATCATTGTAAAACAGTCATTTTGTGAGTCATGAATGAAGAAAAACAAGCAAAAGGAAAGTCAGACTGAAGGTCCCAGTTGCATTTCCAGCTGTTGTTCTTGGCCAATTTATGTTGACACAGCTGGGAATACACTGGGAATTCATTTTTAATAAAATCTATGTGCTTTCCTCAAATTCTTTTAACTAGTTCACGTTTAGAAAGTAAACCTTCAAATACTTTAAATACTGATTTCATTTAACTTCAAAACTCAACGGCGCACATGGTTGAACAGGACAGTATAACTCTGCAGCTGTAAAACGACACAATCAAAATTGCATGTCCACACTGGGACATGCATTGGTGTATGGAGCGCACATCAAGCAGGGAGCAGACACTGAAAAACACAGGCTGAAGAAAACAGCACAAGTTCAAACTAGTTTTTTAACCAAAATGACAACAACAACACTTAAGCCAATTTTTGTTGTTTGTTTTGTTGTTTTTTTGGAATTGTGTTGTTTCCGGTTTGTCCTGTTTACCCAAGAAAGTTGGGAAAGTATGGGACAGCTTTTCAAATGAAACGAAAATGTACATTGCTTTTAAAAAAGCATCACGTATACTCAAGATCAGGTATTCCCCGGCTATTTATGTGTGCAGACTCTTAGATATTGCTAACCCTTAAGACTTCTACAGTGCTGACGGTGCCATTTCTTTGGAGCTGCTGTAGTAGTACAGTTCCCATTCTCAGAGGTGGACACCGGACCAGCAAGGGTGGCAGTCTTGCCGCAACAATACCAGTTGCACTGTAAGGGACTGTACAGTGTAAGGAAAGACAGCTTTATGTTCTACAGATTGTGGATGGAACTGGAAACTACTGGGCCCTCTGACCAACACCAGTAGGCAACGTGTGAAGTGTCTTGCCCAAGGACACAGCCGGGGCTCGAACTGGCAACCTTCCGATTACAAGACGAACTTGTACGGGGGGGGACTAAATGCGTCACATGACCCTATTCAAGACCATTTTAAGTCCGTTTAATGAAGTGCGACACATCAAGAAACTTCCCTGAGAAAAGCACAAAGTCCCCGAAATCACTGAAACTTCAATGTTGACTCAATAGCTAAAAACATTAGCGAACATGTGACTGTCAGAGAGCACGCGCAGATAGGTATGTCAAAGGTGTATTGAAACTCTTAATGAATCCCGCAAACTTATTAGTTACCGACTTTCTAAAAAAAATACATAAATAAAAATAAAACAGTCTACAGACGAAAGTTAACGTAATTTTACATCTAAGCCAGTCAAATTGTCAAAAGTGCGCAACTGCTCAGCCAACACATGTGCATGAAAACCCAGCATCATACACCCACCCAAAACTCCTCCGCGCACACTTACACTGCAGATACTGACTATTAAATCATCAGGAGATCGATGAGCCAAGACAGACTAGACCAGACCCTCGAAACTTTCTTACCAGGGCTTTAGTAGACTTTCTCCTCTTACCTTGCTCATTTTCCCGCTAATCATATCCGCAGGCTTAAAGGCTGCCCCTCATTCTCAGGAAGGCCATCAATAACATGTCCTGGGACTATGAGATAACTTGTTTTCTTTACTCCGGTCCACCCTCTCCAGAGCTGGAACTGCGGGGTGGAGCTGCAAAGCGGGGAAAAGCGTGTGTGGAGTACTATTACTGGAATTTGTAACCCCCGCTGATTGGTCGGTTTCTGGAGGGGAGCGTAAAGATCCTAATTCCCGATTGGCTGAATTAAGCATATTAATATTTCCATTAGAAGCTCTGGTGTGATCGAGGTGTTTAATCCAGACCGCAAATTACAATTCAAGCTGTTTATTTGATCAAATAGTGCATATTTACTGATTATTAAGGCATTGATACGTTTGATTAATAACAAGCATGTAAACAAGCAGAACATGAATGGAGACAAAAATGAATATCATCTACACACAGTTTACATCGGTACGGTTGCAAATGTGTGCAGTTGAAAGGGTTTAAATCTAATCGAGTATTTCTGACACATACGCGAGTGTTGCAGCAGTATTTTTGCAAGCCTTGGCTCTTTGTATTTTTAGCTCTTCCAGCTTAATAACTGTCAAATTTCCTGCACTTTACTTGGACCTAAAGTTGTGGTTGTGCTGTCAACCTTTTCATATCCTGAGGGTTATTTTAGCAATAAATACACAGATCAGCATTTCGCCAGTTTGACCTTTCTTTGCAATGTAAACTCGCGGATATGCATTGTGCAAAAACGATCTTATCAATCTTTTTTTCTTTCTAAAAACAAATCCAACCCAGTCTACTGTTTAAAAGTTTCTTTCTTGACTTGAAATGTGTCTGTGGTCAGCACCCCTGTGCCCCACACTAAACCTCCCTGCGCACCAGTGTCGACTCAGCTGCTAAACAGTAACTCGTGTGTTAGTAGCGGCACCTAGTGGCCAAACAAAAGAAATACAGCAGATGAGCCAGCTTCTTTTCCAGGTATTTTATGAACATAACGTGTTTGCAGCTGAGAAAACGCAGGGTGTGTTTTTTTTTTCAGTATTTGAGCTTCTTATTCAAGCTTTCTTTCTCTTTGTGTGTTTTCTTTTTGTTGTTTTTGGCTTGTTTTTTGTATTAAACCTCAAAAGGAGACCGAAGTCTGGTTTTGTGTGGTTCTAAATCTATTTAAAACAGGAAAACAACCAACTTTCTGGATTACACACCATACATGCCCATATATTCTTATATGTGGATTCCTCTGCCCTAAACTGTAATCCATAATATTCTCCTGCCTGAGACTGCAAATCCAAACAGCATCATGTCTGCCCGCTGCCTCAGTCCTGTAGTCGCTTCCATATATGTTAGAATGACATTCAGGTATTAAGGCTGTGCAGTATATCCCTACCAATCAGTGCAGAATCCAACTGTGAGTCATGACATGTGCTACAACCCCTCCAGTCACCCACCTACCTACACAATCACCAACTAAACAGCACGTGCAGTAGTGCGGCCAATTCTATTAGCTCATATTCCAAGAATTTCATAATAGAAAGTGAGGACTGATTTTTTTTTAGTGGGGGTTCTTGCAAAGTTTAAATATTTGATAGATTTTCAGCTCCCTCTCTTTGGAGGGAGGTGAGGAGGGAAAGAGGAGGAGATGGAATAAGAAGTGAAGAACAAAGCAGTGAGGTGAAAAAAGGTAGACTAACAAAATGTCGAGGGATCATGAGAGACAGGAAACTGGTGCTTGGGATTGGAATGAGGGGTCGGGCAAAGTGGGGGGGAGGGTCATGTTGGGGGAAAAGATGGAGAGGAGAAAAGAGGGGGATGAAACAGAAGAGGTGAATTCCAACATTTCTGGCAAACACTCAAACAAATCGGCAAGCTTTTAATGCAAGGTGCTGCACGCGTTCGTTTGACCTGCAGAAGGACAGAATTTTAGAGGCTTGATCATACTCGGAGGCAAACGAGACAAACGGGGGAGCCCAGGCAAGAGGAAATGAAGGGAGGAGGAGGCTAGAAAAAGGGGGCTGTGTGGCAAGACGATGGATTGTGTAAGACAGTGCTAAGCCAAGGCCTGATAAGGTGCAGCTGTTGAAGGAGCTAAAGAGCGAGACACAGAGATCCCGAAGACTCGAAAGAGCACGTGTTTGCATTTATTGCGTTGATGAATTCAATAAAATCCTCTCTGTCAGCCAGAGCTGCTTAGACATTTGTGGAACTTACCCGAGAGTCGGGCATCAACATTTTTGTGTGGAAGCTAAGAAAATATTTTGTGCATACTTTGCTGGGAGGTGTTTCTTTAAAGGGTGGTGTTGGGATTTGTTGGGGACTTACTGAGGGAGGAAATGGTTTATGTCTTTCCCATTTTCCCTCCATCAGCTTTCATCTGTATGACCACTATGCACAAACACGCACACACACATACACACAAAAAGGCATTCTTCAAAGCCAGAGTTTGGGACAGATCATTGTTTGCAAGCCACAGCAATCTTGTCTACAACAGCCACCCCCTGAGCCCGGACTTTACACAGGAACTTACCTTTTTCCTTAAAAGCAGGAGTGTGACAATTCTATTTCTCCTCTATTCTTTTCTAGTCTATTCTGGGTTTGGGGGGTGTCTATATTTAACCCCAACCAGTCATTGTTCCTTCCCCTGTTGGGTGTGTGTTTGTAGTGAATGCCTGTGGCTCACAGCCTCTGTATTGGTCATGGCCAATCTAAACTTTGTTGCTCATGAGAAATTATAGGGAAGCTGCACAAATACATATAAAAGTGTTGTTGCAATGCCAGGTTTATATATACAGTACTTCAACAGCCAACAACACGCACAAGAATAAAAATAGTGTGATTGCATTTTTTTCTCAGAAGTTGACCCCCCTCCCCCCAGTCTGGCTGAAAAAAACAAATTAAATTACTCACTCTCAACTGCGAGGGTTATATATCTGATTGTTTTTACAATCTTCCAAAATAGGCAGTTTCATATTTGCACCATTGCCCCTCTGTAATTGCACAATATGAACTTCATTTGATACACTTCATTTGACCTTGTGGGTTGAGTTGCACCATTTCAAAAAGCTACTTTTTGTTACATGTCAGATGGAGTACTTCTGTCAAGAATCCAAAAGAGGACCCAAATGCATACAGAGAAACTGAATGAAAAAATGGTTTATTTAATAAAAAAGGTGAAACCAAGATACCGCAATAAAATGTGCGCAGGAAACAATAGCTCAAACAGGGAGTCCAACAAAGACACTGGGACTGACAAAATAAACTACAAGAACTGAACATAGGACTGACTGGGAAATCAGTCACAGATGAATAAAACTTGGGGGGGAAAAAAATCAATCAAACACCTGGGGCTGTCTCTAAAAGTGTATCAGTACCCATAGACTCACTTCACTCTTTTTGGTTAGCTTGCCTCTTAAGAACAATTGTACATCTAGTAATGAAACTATTACTTAACAAGAGCACTCAGAGAGCACGACTCCTTCTGAATCTCCTTCCTTATAACTTCGACCTTGGCCCATCATCCCAAGCTGTTATTGGTATCTACCATCACATAAAATGTGAACATGATATATCTTGAAACCTGTTGATGCCAGACTGCTAACAAATACACAAACAAGCAGAATGGATTACATACTCTGTCCCATCAGGGGGAGAAAAAGCCGTCAACCAAGCTGTTTTAGCTAATTACAGGCCAGTCTTCAATCTTCCTTTTATTTCAAATATTGTGAAAGTCTAGTTTTAAAATAGCTAACTGATCATATGCAGGTAAATAATCTAACAGTGGACTGCGCTGCAGTGGTTTGAATCATATCTATTTAATAGACTCCATTTGTTAGATCCAAGGTTAATTGTGGAGTTCCACAGGGTTTAGTGCTAGGAACAATTCTATATACATTAAACATGTTTCCCCTAAGAACTATCATTAGAAGGAATCGCATGAAATTTTAGTGCTATGCAGATGATACTCAGCTTAATCTATCCATGAAGCCAGATGACACAATGGCTTCTTATCATTTACTCCGTTATAAATGCAGAATTAAATTTAAACTCCTTTACCTCACATATAAGGTCTTGAATGATCAGACCTAATCTTAAAGACCTCATAGTACCATATTACCCCAACAGAGCCCTTTGCTCTCAGACTGCTGGCTTACTCGTGGTTCTTAGGATATTTAACTGCAGAATGGAGGCAGACTTCAGCCTTTAGGCCACTTCTTTGTGGAACCAGCACAGTGGTGTGGTGGTTAGGACTGTTGCCTCACAACAAGAAAGTCCTGGGTTTTAATCCAGGGTCTTTTTGTGTGGAGTTTGCATATTCTCCCTATGTCTGTGTGGGTTCTCTCTAGGTACTCTGGTTTCCTCCCACAGTCCAAAGACATGCAGTTAGTGGTTAAGTTAAATGGTGATTCTAAATTAGCTGTAGGTATGAATTGCTGTCTGTCTCTCTGTGTTAGCCTTGTGACAGACTGGCAACCTGTCCAGGCTGCCCCCACCTTTGTGCTATTGCAGCTGGGATAGGCTTCAGAATTCCCAGAATCCTGAATAGGATAAGCGGGAGAAAATGGATGGATCTCACTGAGTGCTTGGTCATGGGGGCGTTGTCTGATTATTGAGGTTTTCTCTCTGTTATTATAGGGTATTTACCTTTTGGCTGTTGGACATGGACATAATGTGTAGACTCTCAGCTTTCATTTGAGGGTATCCACATCTAAATTGGATGAAGGGTTTTGGGGTTTCAGCTCCTTAACATGTTCCACCCTCTTTTTAAGGGGACCAAAGGTAATTGGACATTGGACTCAAAGGCTATTTCATGGGCAGGTGTGGGCAGCTCCTTTGTTATGTCATTATGAATTAAGCAGATAAAAGGCCTGGAGTTGATTTTACGTGTGGTGGTTGCATTTGGAAGATATTGCTGTGAATATACAACATGCGGTAAAAGGAGCTCTCCTTGCAGGTGAAGCGAACCATCCTTAAGCTGCAAAAACAGAAAAAACCCATTCGAGAAACTGCTACAATATCAGGAGTGTTAAAATATACAGTTTGGTACATCCTGAGAAAGCACTGGTGAACTTCAGCAATGGAAAAAGACCTGGACACCCACGGAAGATAACAGTGGGGATGATCGCAGAATCATTTCCATTTTGAAGAGAAACTCCTTCACAACAGCCAGAAGCGGCCAAATGAATTCTGAGGTGTTCAGAGAGATACTGTCTGCTCAAATCCAGCTTAATACACTCAGATTGATTGGGGGGCGTTTCCTAATACAGATAGACAATGACCCAAAGCACACAGCCAATGCAACCAAGGAATTCATTAAAGCAGAGCAGTGGAATATTCATGAATGGCCAAGTCAGTCGCCTGATCTTAACCCAATTGAGCTACATTTCACTTGGTGAACACTAAACAGCAGAGCGTTAAAAAGGAGGAAACAAGGGATCTGGTGATGTCCATGAGTTCAAGAAATAAGGCTGTCATTGCAAATAAAGGGTTTTCAACCAAGTGTTAGAAATGAAGATTTTATTTTCAGTTATTTAATTTGTCCAATTGCTTTTGAGCCCCTGAAATGAAAGGATTGTGTTAAAATGTTTTAGTTCTTCACATTTTAATGCAATTGTTTTGTTCAACCCACTGAATTAAAGCTGAAAGTCTGCAACTCAACTCTATCTGAGTTGTTTCAATTAACATTGATTGTGGTAATGTACAGAACAGAAATTTGAAGAAAAAAAAAAGTTGTGTCTGTCCAAATATTTATGGACCTAACTGTAAATAACCCCGAATTATATGAAAAATCATTCCTACATTCTGAAGGTTGTGTCATTTATGTCATATAAGTGGAACCTGAACAACATGTTCCTCAGCTTTGTTTTGACCTAATATGAAATTGTTGTGTTTAGGAGGGTAAATACTGCACCGGGGAACACAGGACCCTGTGAACACGGATACATCACTGTCATTACAGTTACTTCCTGAGTATTTGTGTCTGCTTGGTTTCACTCAGAACCTAAAATGATATTTGGCTACATCAGTGGGAAACTTGGCCTGCTGGTGTAGCTGGGGGAAAAGTCAGAGGACCACCAAGTCATTAGGAATCACTCTCCAGGAACCATGAATATTGACAACAGAATTCCCTTGAATCCCTGCAAAAGGTACTGAAATGAAGGGTAGGAATCATAGACTAACTAAAGAAACAATACTGATGATATTGTCCTCAATAAAAGAGGTTTCACAATAAAGCAACTTTATGATGTATCACATTAACTGAAGAATTAAAAAAAATACTACTAAATTGCCAGTATATGTAAAATATATGTGATAACAATGCCTGTGCATTAGCTATTGTATTGCAAGAGGAAGTAACATGATATGTCATCTAAATGCACTGTTCAACACCAAACTGAAATATTTCACTGTGGACCAAAGTAGCTGACAGACTGTTGGTTTGTAGTCATGCTGCTAAGGTGGCTCAAAGAAACCCTGCTTTTCCCCTTCTTTGTCAAAGGAAGCTGACACAGAGTACATGTCATATTAGATTTAACTCCCAACTGATTTCATTAATGACTCTCAGACTCTGTCCCTTGGCTGTGCCTGTGGGTAAATTAAACACATCTTTATCAAGACACCTGCCAAGATAATAAGACATTTAACTTTCAGCACCAGTATGCTCTAGCATGCAATCACAACACACTATGAGACAACTCAGAAAGGTAATTTTATTAGATGGAAATCATGCTGCTCAGGATCATCACACAACAACAGTGCTTGCTGCTTTGCTTTTTTTCTAAAGAGAACCACATGTACTGCTGACTCTCGCTGCCAGGAGTTGTTTAGTTCAACAAATCATCTTTAGAATGTTGTTTATTGACGCTGAGCTACTCTCAAGATCTGCAACTGTCCAATAATCGCTGGACGAGGAGGTCAATTTGGCTCTGTCGAGTATTTTTGGAGCATTCTGAGCACAAGTGAATGAGAATCTGAGAACTACATGTGGACCATAATATTTTTTGTTGCTAAGTGTTTCCAGTAAGTACTTGGCATGGGTTTGCTTAGGAATGTATATGCGTGATTCTTGCCAGAGTATAAAGGCATTAAAACCTCATTTATATTTGTCAGGCTCTCACACATAGTTGCATTGCTAGTTCAAATCTGAAAGTCCCCAAGAAGTGAAAAACAAGTTTATATATAAAAAAAAAATAGACCATAAAAATAGATAAGGCAACTACATCCTCCTACTCCTTGGATAATTGGGATCTAGCTTGTTCCCACACCCATGCAGTGGGGTCAGTCACAGCAGGATGACGTAATCCAGAGGGCTCCACATTCCCACGCTGCTCAGCATGTGATATGGAGCCACTGGGACCAAAAGCTTGTACACACATGCACAGATGCAAAACAAAAGGGGATGGATGCATGCAACCCAGCAGACTTGGGCACTGTAAACAAGTGTTTGAATCTGCACGAGCCCCAGCATGATATGAACTAGTGATCAGAGATCAAGCTTCTCTGTGGCCCTTTAAGATCCCCCCCCTACAGCCAGCTAGCCTGCCTCTGTTTACATGATGGTAACTCCCAAGCAGTGGAGGCTATCACAAAAGTACTATTGTAGCTGCACAGCTTGAAGATGCCAGTGTCATCCTCATCATCTTTTAAGACAAGTCTCACACACACACACACATACAGAGCCTCCTTGTAGGGAACCAATATAAACAGCCACTTTTCCTATCTTTGGATCAGCACGTGTCTGTGACTCAATCAACAAACATTTCACTGTGGTGCAACACTAACGTTGCAGTTCACATTGACCTTTGACCCCTCTGCTTGCCAGTGGGTTTTAAAAGTATAACAAGTGAAGAGCCCTTGTGCTGTTCTGAGAGGGAACTGCAGTAGGATGCTAAAATTATTAAATCAGCATACTAATAATAATAATGATGATTTTATGCTGTTTTTTTTTGTTTCTGTGATCAGAAAAACATGTTATGTGTGTTTAAAAAAGGTAAAGAGGCCATGGTTCTGTGTGTCTGCACTAAAGCTACATGCTAACTGGTGCATGGTGAAATGACAGTATGCTGATGTTTAGCAGGTGTAATGTGAACCTGTCACTATAGGCAGTTTAATATTTTCTCATTAGCACAAGTTCAGCATATAGCTGAGGTAGGCTGCTATATTATTAGCTACAGTAGGCAGGTTTTTGCTCATGAATGCACTCCTATTGAAAAGTAAGGGGCTAATCAAAATGATTACAGAACCTGTTTTGATCCTAATATTAGTGACAGAAGAAAGGGCCTGTCGTTTTTCAGGGATGTTAGGATTCATCCTTAAAAGAATAAGATAAATATTTAACATTTGATATATTTTAGTCTGGGTCAAAATGGAAACCGTGATTTAGCAACATTTGTTGGGATACTTTAGTGGATAAGTAGAAACCTAACCTAATTTTAAGTTAGAAATGTAATGGACGTTAAGATTCATCCTCAGATGGCCATGGATATTTGTATCAAATAAATATTGAAGTAATAAGACATTTTAGTCTAGACCATGGTGGGAATAAGAAACAGACTAGAACCAAGCTACCGTAGTCAGAAGTCTCTGCACTGTGACACCTGACGTCTTGTATATGATCTAGGAAGGGCATGCTCACAGAGATTTATGTACAGTTTCATGAACATCACCACACTGACCTTTGTAAGTCTCATCCTGCCACTCTCACTCCTCTCCAGGCTCCTTTTCAGAGATGAGTTTCTGACTACTGGCACCGGTTGCACCTCTTCCTCCCCGCACCAGTCCGAACTCAGGACGCAACCCATATAGGTGGACAGGGTCCTGGACTTGGGGTTGTTTTTCACCTCCTCTCACTCTCTCTTCCTTCTGTCCTTCCTCCACCTCCTCCACTTTCTCTCCGTGTCCTCGTCCCCTCGTCCTCTAAACAGGCTCCAAGCTCCCTGGGTTCCTGGGCAGCTGTTTTTGTCAGCTGGAGAGGAGGAGACGGAGGCCCTTCCCCTTTTCCTGGCTCTTGATCAGCCCTGCTCCGGGGACAGAGGGAAGGATACACTCTGCCCCTCTCTGCTCACTTTAAAAACACCTCTCTCTCCAACTCTGTCCTGCTGCTTGGGGACTCCCCATTTTTCCTGCCTCCGCCCCCTCTCACTGCTCCTCTTTGTTTCCCATACGCAGTTGCAACCACTCAACTTTCTTGAGCACACCTAGGCCTCCAATTTTTCACCCTATTTCTTTGTGCCACTCAATCACACTCTTCACATCCCTCTGCTCTGTGCTCTCACTCTTGATCACTGTTCAGATATGAAGACTCAATGTTTCATCTTCCCATCTTGTGAAGCTCCTCTGTTTTTTTCCTTATGCCTCTTCTTTCCTCCCATCCC